TTCTGATAAACAAAGATTACGATTGAGGACTCGTAATCTTGACCCAACTGAAAATAAATTGTTGAGGAAAAAACGTTGAAATGTTAAGTCAACATGTCAAAAAAAAATTACATTAATTTCTATGATAAATTTAAAATGTTGTTAAGAACCATAAAAACCTTCACCAAAAAGTCACATCTCTTTCAAAAGTTAAATTAAAATGTTAAGAAAGAAGTCAACAAATTATTTCCAGAAGAAATTAAAACTGTTGTTCAAAAAAATTCAAAATGCTGAAAAAAAATCAGCAATGGTTACCAGAATGATTTCATGCGGTCATGAAAAATGCTCAAACGTTAAAGAAAGTCAAAACCGAATGCAGAATAAAGTCAAAATGTCGAAGAAGAAAATCCACTAGGAAGTTTTTTTGAATAAATTAGAAATGTTAAAATAAATATTAAATACTATTTTCAGTACAAAATTTCAATATATGGATAATTAAAGAGCGAGTAACACCCAAATTAACCTTTTTTGCTGATAACCTGTATCGGGGGTCGGCAACCTGCGGCTCTGGAGCGGCATGCGGCTCTTCCATTCATCTGATGCGGCTCTCTGTGCTTGTAAAATAATGAATGGATATTTAAATAAAATGCTTTATATTTTACTGCATTAATTTTACATCTGTATGCCAATTCTAAATGTAAAGATTGTCTGCGTAAACCTGAACAGTTCCAACCCGGTCTTACTGTGAGACCGGGTTGACGCGTCACGCTTGTGCGTAATCATATCGGCGCTTTCTGAGCTGAAGAGGATGTGAGATTCTGGGATTCTCCTCAGACAGGCTCCTAGATGTGTCGCCACACTGGAGACAGGAACAAGCACTATTCAGCCAAAGTTTCATAATCAGGGAACATTTTCTAAGTAAAAAGGCTCGCTTCAGTCGGAGGAATCTTCCCGCATGCGCTCTGGTTCTGCGACGCGCTCCAAGCCCCTCTCCACATCTTCAGTTCGCTGTGCACTGTACGCACGCGCTGACAGTGAGCTGTGCTGAGCAGTGTCCAGCTCTGATGTTCAGATGGGAATCATTTCTTGAGTGATTTAGCTACATCTGCGATGTGCAAAACGAATAAAATGCCAGTTTGTCTGCATGCGTCGGGGTAATTCTTTCTATTCTTTCTCCGTCAAAATAAACGGTCAAATACGGGAACTGTCCGGTCAACACGAACCCTGCTTTTAACTGTTCTGTTTTCTTGTGAAAATTGTTGCAAAGAGATATAATTTAACTTGATTAACACCAGAGCCAGGCGCACTGCGCCGTTATCTCCGTCACTGTAAATGAGGGAAAAACAAATTGATCGGATCCTTTTCTGACCTTCCCCACCTACAAAGTTTAATTACAACAATCAAACGTGACAGAGCCTGGATTTGTATTCTGAACAGTCTAAACATGTTTAGAAACGTATGACAAAAGTGGCACCTGCTCAGTAAAACCACCAACAGGGTGAAAAATATCAAAATATTGTAGGCAGAGACGGGCTACAACTTCTGGATCCACTTTATATAAATCGTTTTATTGATTATCTTCTTATGAAAGATACCTTTGACATACACGAGCAACCGGTACTGGCTGCTGTCACCTGTTCTGATTCGTTAAAGCAGCTCTCTGCTGTCTGAGGTTAGGCCCCGCCACAACGCCGCGACTGCTGTGGCTCCCAGTGTTTTCTTTACTGTGGGAAACGGGTAATAATGGCTCTTTGATGGGAACAGGTTGCCGACCCCTGACCTGTATAGATGAGTGTCTAATAGTGCTGCAGACATTGATTAAGAATCAGCTACAGCTGATTGCTGTAGCGCTTGCAGGGTGACGTCTGTGCGGAACTTCGTGGCTACACTGCACCGGACTCCCGCCGAGTCTTGCCTCACCTCTACCTGACTCGACCACTCACCTGCTGATATGACACGCTGGCTTTCCGAGCTGCTCTCCTCCTTAAGAAAAATGTCCTCCTCCTCTTTTGTCTAATGAAGGAGGTGAGCAGGTAATCTTCCCTCCTCCAGTCAGTTTCTGTGTCTGCTCTTCTCCTGAGTGGTGAGTCTGCTGTTTGTGTGTGCTTGGTGCACTTGGTACTCTTAAAAAAACAGTAAAAATGTTGAAGAACGCTGGCAGCAAAGGGCTTTACCGATCAGGAAAATGGCAGCGAATGAGTTTAATACTCTTTTTTCCGACTGAGAAACCCTGAGAGCGCATGCAAGGGGTTAAGGGGGGTGCGGCCAATCATTGCCTCAGTGCTGCTCTCTCTGTCCTACAGGCAACGCCTTTTTTCCAGGTATTTTTCTAACAGGAAGGTTGGTTGAAAAAAGTCACCACCCATGGTATAACTCACACTTTAAAGAATACCTGTAATCCAACTTGGTTGTGTTCAAGAAGCTCTACATAACAGTGAGTTGGACTCCGACCAGGCTGCCCTTTGTCACCGATTCAGTTCAAAACTTTTATGGACAGGATGTCTAGGCACAGCCAAGGTGTGGAGGGGATCCGTTTTGGTGGCCTAAGGAACAGGTTTCTGCATTTTGCAGATGATGTGGTCCTGTTAGCTTCATCAGAATGTTATCTTCGGCTTTGGCTGGAGCGGTTAGTGTGAAGCAGCTTGGATGAGATTCAGCTCCTCTAAATCCGAGACCAGTTGGAAAAGGTTAGAATGCCTTCTCAGGGTCAGGAATGACATCCTGCTCAAAGTGGAAGAGTTTGAGTATCTTGGGGTTTTGTTCATGAGTGAGGGGAAAGATGGAGCGTGAGATCAATAGGCAGATTGGTGCTGCATCTGCAGTGATGGGGGCGTTTTTTACCAGTCTGTCGTGGTGAAGAGAGCTGAGCCAGAATGTGATGCTCTGGATTTACCGGTTAATCTATGTTCCTACCCTCACCTATCGTCACGAGCTTTAGGTGGTGACCGAAAGAACGAGATCACGGGTACAAGCGGGTGAAATTAGTTTTCTTTGCAGAGTGTCTGGGCTCTCCCTTAGAGATAGGGTGAGAAGCTCGGTCATCCGGGAGGGGCTCAGAGTACACCCACTGCTCCTCTACATTGAGAAGAGCCAGTTGAGGTGGCTCGGGCATCTGATTAAGATGCCTCCTGGATACCTCCCTGGTGAGGTTTTCCAGACACGTCCAACCGGGAGGAGACCTAAAGGGAGACCCAGGATATGACTGGAGGGACTATTTCTCTCGCCTGGCCAGGGAACGCCTTGGGTTCCTCTGACAAAGCTAGCCCAAGTGACTGGGGAGAGGGTAGTCTGGGCCTCTCGACTTAGGCTGTTGTCCCCGCGACCCGACTCCGGATACGAGGAAGAAAATGGATGGATGGCATGTATGGTTGAGACCGTTATTGTGGAGGATGAAGCTCTGAGTTCCTCTCAGGAAGCTGCTACTGAAGGAGTTAAAAGATGGGGCCTCAAATCTACAAAATGCCTTCTGTCAGGAAACAGCATGTTGACTTTATTCTCATTATTTCAACTCAAAAACACTCTGTCTTTTTGTTTTCTATTTTATTTCCCCGTGCTCTGATTTTAAAGTCAAACTAAACATCCGATGTAAACGTACACGAGCACAGCCACAAATTATTCAGATGTTTGGATGAGACGGAGGCTTATTTAATCTGAGACAGTCGAGGAGATGTGAGTCAAAGCTCTCTCTTTCAAGTTGAGGTTAGAGTCTTCTGAGGCGGTGACCTTGGATTTAAAAGGTCCCCAAGCAGGAATCATAAACAGGTGTTATAGCAGCTGTAACCGAAAGGTTCCTGGCTGCTGAGTGTCACAGAGAGTCCGGGGTGTGGAAAGATGGATGAGCATTTAGAGGACAGCAGAAAACTGCTGGGTGAGCCACCTTGACAGCCCACGGGGACAGAAAGTATTCATTCCTCCACACTAACGTGGGCTTTTGGCTAAAATACACAGAAATAAGTCCAAGAACAAGCAGTTTATTGTTGTAAAACCTACCATGGCCTTTATAATGTACTCAGTGTTTAAGTTGCATGTTTTTCTTATTATAATATAAATTCTTTTGTTAAAAAAAATCTAAAAAATCCATCTTAAATTTTTACATTAATAATTTGCATTATTATATAGATTATATAGCTCTATTTCTGATTACTGTAAAGTGATCTTTATGCAATAAACAAGTCATAATCTAAAAAGACCTACAATTTCAGTGTTTTTAATGTTTTAAAAGTATTTATAAAACTAAAAATTGAAATAAGGGAGGTCAGAGCAAAAACATAAATCAATAAATAACGGTAAAAGAAAATGGCTCAGTGGGTTTGCATTTATTTCTAAATGCTTGCTTAGTATGAGGATTACTGTAAAGTCACTGACACTAGTCAGTGACTCCATGCAATTTGCTGGGTTCCTTATATAGGAAACTTTTTTCTGATTGGCATAATGAACTGACCTGTATTGGAATGTTTGTTATGTGAAGTGCCTTGAGACGACTCTTGTCGTGATTTGGCGCTTTATAAATAAAATTGAATTGAATTGAATTCAAAGCGAAGTTTAATATATTCTAAAGCTAGTGAGACACTTTCCTGAATTTTCTTTAGCATATTTAAGGGTAAGGGTTAAAAATCTCCTCTTGCCCTTTTTATGAACTAAAGAAAATCCTGACTCGGGTATATACGGTCATTTTAAAAAGCTTCTACTTGTGGTATTTACAGAGCTTTGAGCACTTCTCTGTCTCATACTGAGAGCTTGTTCATTCAGATTAGTTTGAATTAGTCTTGAAAATTTTCATGTCGAATTTCAGTTCAACCAGAGAATTAACTCTTAAAACTCAGAACTGGCTTCCTGGCAGCAGAAATGACTAAATGTTAAATATTAATCCTGAAGTCTAAAGCTGTGTGTTCTGATCCATGTAAGTGGTTGAAACTGGTTGTAAATGGTCACAATCTTTCTCCCTGAGACTGCTGAGTGTATTTTCCCCTCATATAAACTGAACTACCTTAATCCATAAATTAAAAAAAATCAAAACTCACTCAATTCGGCGATGCTGCCTACACGGGTGGCGAGCAGCGACTGTTCGAGCGTACGTAGCTCAGCTTGGCTGTATCCGGGACCTTCGCCGCCCCTCCCCGACCGCTGCTGGTCCCGATGCAGGTTTAGACTCTCCGGCAGGCTCAACACACCTGGAAAAGACATAAAAAAAAAACCCACATCTTAGCGTTTAGCATGAACATCTAGTAGAGCAGTTCTAGCTGCATCCTATTTGTCATTTAATGATAAATGACCCACACTTGTATACAGAGTCAGAGGACTCCAAAGTGCTTTACACTACAGTGTATCATTCATCCACACACACACACACACACACACACACACACACACACACACACACACACACACACACACACACACACACACACACACACACACACACGTGATGAGCTACAGTGTAGCCACAGCTGCCCTGGGGCGCACTGACGGTGGTGAGGCACAGGTACCACCAGTCCTGGCTGCGACCACCACTAGCAGGCAAAGTGTGTTAAGCTTCTTGCTCAAGGACATAACAGCAGAATTCTCTGTCCGGAGCTGGGATCGAACCTGGGATCGAACCTGGGATCGATAACTGGACAACCAGCTCAACCTGTTGAGCTACTGCTGTACCAAATTAAATATATAAAATCAAGAGGTAACCTTGTGCGTCCCCCCCCTCCCCACTTTTCTATAACATCTTGTGTTCTCAAATGTATTTATTTTTCTTGTTGCAGCAGATTATGCTGGTGGACAAGAATTAATCCATTTAGGGAGCCGTTGTTGCAGCTAGGCTTTGTTTTGCTGCAGAGAATGGTTTGTGACAGATTGGATATTGAGTTTTTGCAACAGGAGAATGAAAAGCAACACCAAACTGAGTGCTAATCCTAATGATACAGCGCAGTGGGATAAGCCCTTTCTCAACAAAAACAGTAATTACAACATGGGGGAACTCAGTCAATTTGTCTGATGCAAACACAAAAGACAAAAGACCCATAGAGTGGACACAGAGCCCGTGAGTCTTATTTGGTTTAGAAAGGAGATTCAGATGTTTTCTTCCCACAGTGTCCAGCCCAAGAATTCCTGTATTCCCTAATCGGAGTCCCACTCCCTTTTCTTCCCACAGCCTTTCTGAGTAGGTTGGCTTTATTTAGAACGTCCTATAATTCCTGTTTGACCACTGTGCTTTGCAGCTGATATTAGGAGGCTTCCTCAAATACATTGCTGTAGAAAAAAAGTACTATTAAATAAAATAAAGAAAGAAAGTCAGGGTTTCAGGCTGCAGTGGTGTGGAACATTTATATTCTAATGAGAAAAGAATTTCCCAAAGGTGAAACCTAAGGTGGATGATATCTTTACACATGCAAATGCAATTTTAACAGCCAGTATGTTACTACATGTCAAGATGTACTTAAAGCAACTAATTCACACTGGAGTGCAATTCTTTTATCGCTCTTGAAAATCATATAAAACACGGTGTTTAAAAACTCCTGGCTACAATCACAGGTCTCAGATGTTTTCAGACGTTTTCTGTACCAAAAAATCTGTAGGCATTTAAAGACATGCATGAGTATGATCAGTTAAAATGCCCATGTAATTTTTCAAAATGTCCTGCAATAATAGGTATCAACTTAATAATAATTATATATATTAGGACTTTTTCTTAAGTTAAAATAACTCTGTGGTATATACCAAAGATCTTCAGGGAGGTCTTTGCATTGACTCATTCACTGCTAATGACGACTAAAGTCATCATTTGCATGTTTTTTACATCGGAACGAGCCCCCGCACCGTGAGAACAAACATCTCAGCTCTAAAGCCGATCTTCATCTGCATACGTCACACGTCACGTGATCAGGAAGCGGAAAATCCATGTGTTAGGAGATCGTTTTGGGCCGCTGCTGTAAAAAAAGTGAGGCGCGAACCGGAAAAGCCTCTGCCGATCACAGCCCCTAAGAAGGCACTATACAAATACAGGTAATTTACCATTCACATTTACCTTTACCAGTCTATTGCATACAACTATATCATAAATCAAAATATTTAAGTTTATAGTGTATACACTTTTACTTTAAACCTTTCTTGAACCAAAACAGAACTTTCCGATGGAGCCAGTTCAGGATTTTGAAGTTGGCAGATAAAAGTCCAGAGGAAACCACAGCTCTGTTTTGCTTTGCTGTAATTTCTCAGTGCAGAAGATGTGAAGAAAAAGCAGGAAAGTTCTGAAGGAGCGCTTGAAAACACCTTATGGCAAATATTAAAGCTTTCCCCTTCCCACAGTGATGTCCTCTGATCTCCAAAAACATACTGTGTTTATGGCATCCTGAGATGGAGATTCTCACCCCTGATGTAAAATTAATTTGATCCATTTATGCTGTTGGTACCCACCTCCTTCTACATGTTGCATCACTTCCCAAACTATTCTTTCAAAATGATCATTGGGCACCAGGGAGTCTTTTACTGAATAATTCATCCAGTCACATAAACAAGTCCGCAGCTATCTCTTCTCCACCTCCCACTCTCCCTACATCTTATCTCTCGCTAACATTTGGCTTCTCCGCACAGGGAAGGGAGTAGGAATATTTGATCCTAGGTGGTGTTTGTGTAATAAACATCAGAGGTGAGAAAGAAGCCAGCCCCGCTCCTTGAAGATGTGAAAAAGAAAAAGGAAGAAAAGGGAATAGGTGATGCTGACAAAAACGTTAAATTAAAAAAAAAAAAGAGACGCAACGTGAGACCCAGAAGGCTGCTGAGTGTTATAATCACTTATCTCTATATGTTGCTTCAACCACAAAATTTCTGTGACCTCAGAGGCAACTGGATGAGCTTTACATAAGCTAGAGAAACAATCTGACACCAAATAAACAGATAGCTGTTATTTGGGCCCCATTGCAAAGCTCTAAGAAATGTACAACCCCCCCACTTGTTATTTCTGCAGGAATACCACCGCTCATTCAAATCATCTTAAATAATATAGAGAATATCGAAAAGTACAAGAATACAACACACAGCCGTCTGTGAGGGAATAAATCACTTGAGAGAGGTTCATAAAATTCATTTTGTACAAAAAATAATAAAAGAGAAAAGAATCCAAAGCCTAAAGTAAGCCAGTTCCCACAGTATGAATCTACAAAGCAACAGTCTTTCATATTCTTCTGCTTTGAAAATAAAACTTCTGTCAAGTTAATGAAGCGACTTTCAGCCTAATTTTCAAATTGTGAGCCTGATAATTAAAATAGAGGAAAAAAAAAACATCAGAAGGATCTTCCTCAGCAATTGTCACATTTAAATAATGGAGTTGTTTGTTTGAAGAGGCACAATCAGACGTTTCACTAGCAGGAGCACAAATTTAAAATAAAATTGTAGCTTTTTCTAGAATCCATTAAAGGTGAACTGTATGTTCTTAGAAAAAGCCGTTGAACTACTTTTTGAAAAACAACAACTCAAGCCGTTCTCTTCAGCCCCCCGTGTAACTGTATAATAATTTAGCATGCTAACTGGTATACGGTGGTGTTTTTATGGTGAAAATGAGGCAGTTTTCTCTCTTGGTTTATTCTTAACTTCAAAATCACAGGAACTCAGCACCACCAACAATCTGGAAAACCCCCACCCCATGGTGCGTTAGACACACAGCTCTGCCAGCTGACAGAGGACTAACTGTGCTTACAGACAACAAGTCAAAACTTCCATAACCCATCCCCTAATGAACCTCCTCCTGATTACTTTAATCTTCTTTAAATGGGAGATTTTTTCTGAAAAGAATCTAATCTTTCTGCTTCTGAAGAAAGACAGAAATGAAAATTTGTGAAAATTGGCAAAAATACATGAAAGCATAAAACTCAAATAGCTTATGGATTTTTGTTTGGGGTAAATATGTTTTTCAGACAGCTGACAGCGTTCTTTAGAAGTATAATGCCTTCAAGCAGCACCAGATTAAATGGAACAATTTCAAAAATATTCAGAGCGTTTTGAAAGGCTTTCACACAACCGAGGTAGGAGAGTGTTTGGACGAAAGCTAGAGTGACAGGTCCTAAAAGCCCAACAGAAACCTCCCTTTGTGGGTCCACGGGAAATCAGTCCAGAGTTTGAACCTTGGCGGTTTAGGAAAACGGCTTCCCTCTTTCACAGGTGACAGCACAATGTGTTTGAATGGAGTTTTGAGGAAAACACTGCTGGTTTAACGGTGCACCTTGACATTTTCAGTTAAAATCATATATATATTTTTACTAGCACCTGACACACTTGTTCCATGACACACAAGACAAGAAACCCCACACTTATATTTGTCTTACTAAAAAAAAGTTGTTTTTTCTTGTTGGGTTTTCTCACCTATGCATCATGTCTTCACAGTTCTGACTCGCTGAGATAAGATAAAATACTATATTTGTTTAAATCTGATGCTAGTCTAAATTTTTCTGCAGCTAATGACCTAATCATTACTATAAAATACAGGATTAAGAACTTCATGAACAATATTCTATCAAAAATAGTTAGTTTTACATAGAATATATTAATACAGCGCTCTCAAAAGGTGAAATATTGACTTATTAGCATTAGTATAGTTACTTTAGCTAAATTCAACCCAAACAAGTATAATATGCAATGAATGAAGGTTTGACTGTTTGAGATCAAGCTTTGAACATAATGGGATTCCTGATCTATTCTTTTATGTGATAGACGCAATCCCACCTGAATGGCATCACCTCTAAGGAGCGGAAGAGGCTCAAACACTCCCACCCCTCACCCCCGCCCATAATGTCCAGCATTTGAACTGCCTCCTCGTGAGAATAAAAGAAAGATTACTCAATAAAAACTAGAGCTTGCCTAACAGTCATGACATTTTGATCTGTGATAATCCAAACACACTGAGCTTCTGTTACTCTGAATTCCAAGTGAAGGTCAGTTTTTAGCTTTGAGCCGTCCACGTGAGCAGGCGTGCACGCCGCACCGTTCACTTCTTTTATTTTCTGCAGGAAACTCCAATCGATTTTTGTTCTCTTTTTTGTGTCATGAGAAAGAAGCAGTCCCCTCCTTTGTCAGTGAGACAACTCTGCAGGAATATTAACAGGTAGTTGCCATGGCAATGGGTGACTGCTGACTAACAGTGCTGTGATTGGCTGAAATGCTGTACTGTAAGGAAAGCCTTTTATACAAG